GGGGGGGGACGGGGGAAGGCAACAAAGGGTATCGAGCCAACTTTTGTACAGTAAAATAACTGCTGCCTAACCGTCTGGGGAGCGGGGAGAGGGGGGATGAAAGGCCCCTCGCCTCCCTTCCTCCACTGGATCCGCCAATGCAGTTGACTATCGCCAAGTAGCACCCATCGCTTGTTTCTTCTGTGTACAAGATTTCTTCGGAAGTTACTCAGGTGGTTTTTTACTCATGGGGTGTTATTCACGGATGCGCAGAATCTGCCAATTATTGGTAAAAAACAGCATGTCCTACCCACTGCATTTCTTTAGTGTTCGTTGTGACATTCTGCAAGTCGCTCGTCCGATGGAGTCATAAAGAGTCACGCTAAGCATCCTGCAGTCCACTGTTTTTTTCATCACAGCCGACATTTGCACTTCAACTTTTGTTAATGACCATGTTGCGCAAACCTAAGCAAATTGGAAGTGAAAATAGCACGCGATAGTGTAATTGACTTTGCTGCCTTTTCGAAGAGCGGATACGTAAGCTTATGTAACATAAATATATGGATTTAATTTTCAATAGGCCTCACCGGAAGTTTATTTCAAGAATATTTTTTGGTTCTTGCGACTTCAAAACGATACACCTGTGATGCCTAAGAAAGGGACGAGATATCCCTGTACATATGTGAGTTCAAAAAAACGGAGGTTGCTTATGGATCTGGTTAAGTCACAAAGAATTGTTTAGAGGAACTGCATCATTTTCAAAACCTGTGATTGAATATTTTGTTATTTTGATGTAATGAATGGAACCTTGCAGCAGTTTGATTTCGTTCACTTTCATTTGTTTTTCAGAATTAATTACTTCCGTGCGACGGCATTTGGCGCCTTGCGCTCAATTGTTTGGTTGCAAAGTCGGCACGATCAGGTATCTCACCCTCTCATCGCCGATGCACTGGAAATTGTATTTTCTCACTGTTTATTGTTTCTTCTTTGCAAATATTAAATCGTTGAGTTCTGCAAAATAGCTGTGTAGAATTCACATTTCCTCCTGTCGCACTTAATAAGGCTATTATTGGGCTTATTCACATCATTCATGGCTCCCCTTTGCTTGAAAGCAAAAAATATTTCTAGAAAACCCATTCCTTTTTAAACGTGAGCATTGATTGTAAGCGGCCGCATTTCCCCCCTCCCTCGCTCTCCTCCAGTCCCTCTCCTCCCGGTTTCCACTCTTCCAACTAGTACCAACTTGTTGTGAACAGATTTCTGTCATTATTGGTTAAAAAAAACACCGTGCCTATAATGTCGTCGAGTTTTCTCCATTTTAATGCATTTTAGTTGTCTTCGTAGACAAACCATGTTTGTTCAAAAGTTCAGTCGAATTTGCTTCAGGCGGTGCATTTTGTTTAAACTGTTGCTTATCATTAGGTGCTCGATCAGTCTCGTAGTGTGACAGGTACTACAGTAATATCCAGTTCTGTTGGAGTACGTAGAGATGATCATAATCAGGACTTCCGAGTTGGTCGAATCAAGCATGAACGCATCAAGGTATGTGCTGACTTTATTTCAACTGATTAAGTTTTCTGGTTTTCAGTTGAATGAAGTGTATTCATTTCTTAGGTGCCTCGTTGTGAGGAACAGCTGTTTGATTACGCGGTACGCCTACTGAATTTTCATGCATCGCGGAAGGCAATACTGGAAGTTGAATATGTTGGCGAAGAAGGAACCGGACTGGGGCCCACTCTTGAATTTTATGCTCTGGTAAGCGAATCGGCTTTCAAACGTCGTTGCTTTTTTTTTTTCAGTTTTTTCATTTTGAAAATGAAGGCATTTTCTTCCATTAAGTGTAGCTGTTTTC